AGGAAAGGTGTCATCTAGATTTTTTAAGTACTATACAAGTGTTGTATGTAACATGGGTTTAGCAGGAAAGCTGTCATCCAGATTTTTTAAGTACTATACAAGTGTTGTATGTCACACGGTTTAGCAGGAAAGCTGTCATCTAGATTTTTTAAGTACTATACAAGTGTTGTATGTAACATGGGTTTAGCAGGAAAGCTGTCATCCAAATTTTTTAAGTACTATACAAGTGTTGTATGTCACACAGGCTTAGCAGGAAAGCTGTCATCCAGAGTCAAAGGTGAAGAAAAATATTCACCTTCTAAGAAAAAGTGTCATTCACATTTTAACACATTAGTTCACCGAACGCCATCAGTTGAAATTGAGGAGGAGGAGGAGGATGTGAAATCATCCCCATCCAAGAGGAAATCTGAAACTCCTTCTAAAGAAGTGAATGGTAAGTACTTTGTGAACATTTTTTAGTTTATCATATTCAGTTTTGTTTCTATACAACTGAATATAGTAACATAAGTATTTATATAAATCATTTTTACCATAGAATAATGATGGGCAATAATAAATTGTTCCTGTGATATTATTGAGGTTATTGTATTATTTTTTGTAGGGATGATACACAATTAACTGGAATGGGGTAACTCAGTAACCTAATTGACTTTTCTATATTTTAGAAGAGTGAGGGTTCAGTTATCTAGTTGGTTGTGCTCTTCTGTATTGGGGAGGGTAATTGGCTGTGTTTAAGAAAGCCAGTGCTGAACTTTTTCTTTGAAAATATCTAAAAGATTGGTAGAAGTAAATGTTTATCTTTCATTTTTTTTTCTTTCAGACAACTGTAATGTAGTGTAATATTCAAAGGGCATGCCTGAGGATGTAATTTTTTAATTTTAGATGAATAATGTGTGATGATAATCAATCTGCCTATAAATGTCATCTGTTGGTTCCAGATGTATTATGTGTGATGATAATGAGCATGCCTGTGGATGTCATCTGTTGGTTCGAGATGTATAAAGTGTGATGATAATGGACATGCCTGAGGATGTCATCGGTTGGTTCTAGATGTATTATGTGTGATGATAATGAATCTGCCTATAAATGTCATCTGTTGGTTCTAGATGTATAAAGTGTGATGATAATGAATCTGTCTATAAATGTCATCTGTTGGTTTTAGATGTACAAAGTGTGATGATAATGAATCTGTCTATAAATGTCATCTGTTGATTCTAGATGTATAAAGTGTGATGATAGTGAATCTGTCCATAAATGTCATCTGTTGGTTCTATATGTATTATGTGTGACGATAATGAGCATGCCTGAGGATGTCATCTGCTGGTTCTAGATGTATTATGTGTGATGATAATGAATCTGCCTATAAATGTCATCTGTTGATTCTAGATGTATAAAGTGTGATGATAATGAATCTGTCTATAAATGTCATCTGTTGGTTCTAGATGTATTATGTGTGATGATAATGGACATGCCTGAGGATGTCATCTGTTGGTTCTAGATATATTATGTGTGATGATAATGGACATGCCTGAGGATGTCATCTGTTGGTTATAGATGTATTATGTGTGATGATAATGGACATGCCTGTAGATGTCATCTGTTGGTTCTAGATGTATTATGTGTGATGATAATGGACATGCCTGTGGATGTCATCTGTTGGTTCTTGATGTATTACGTGTGATGATAATGGACATGCCTGAGGATGTCATCTGTTGGTTCTAGATGTATAAAGTGTGATGATAATGGATTATTGTTGTACATCGTGCTTCATAAAGAAAAAGCTTTACTTTTTATACTGACACTACAAAGACGAGATACATAAGACTTGACGTAAAATGGTGATTGTTTGTCTTCCATACACTGAATAATTCTGCTCAACTATGATTGTTTTGGTTGAGATTGATAATCACAAGTTATATAATGAAAGTTACACTAAATAGTCAATTTTAATAGCCTAGCAAACAACCTCTATGGATATCCCTTTGAACTTCAGTACATCATTAATTTGAAAGAAAAGAAAATTTAAGTAAGGCATATAAATTTTACTGTGAAGTGCAAACTTAAAATGGTTTTCTCATATTATACGATGTGACCTTAATCCTTTCATCCACTTTAAATGCTTTTCTGTGCAAGTCACTGTGTTATCTTCAAAATGTAATTAAATAACTTTACTATCAGTGTATTTGCATGACATTAACATTATAATTTATGTTATGATTTGAAGTTTTATGTTATTTAAGTTTTAAGTTCTTTATTTCAAAATAAACCTTTAGAAAAACTACTTTAAACTTCATATGCACTGTCACATGACCAATAAACTGAAAATTCTCTAATTTGGCTCTCTTTATCTTCATTAATGCAATTGTAGTTTAGTATAGGTATGTATAGATAATAAGATACTTACATAACCTTTTGACTCATTCATTTCAAAGTACTCTGAATGAATACATTTGAAATAAGTAATAAATTTTTTCAACTCCTGACAGATGCCACATCCACCTTCAACAGTTTTGTTTTACTTTTATAGCCCCCCCCCCCAGTGCACAGCGGTATGTCTGCGGACTTACAACGCTAGAAACCGGGTTTCGATACCCGTGGTGGGCAGAGCACAGATAGCCCTTGTGTAGCTTTGTGCATAATTAAGAACAAACAAACAAACAATACTTTTATAGCCTACGTGTAGATGTTACATACACATGTGTATAGTCATTAGAAAGAGCTCATTTTACACTATAATCCAACTTAGGTTTTTTTTTAAATTGGCATGCAGTTTCATTATAGAATACATGGAATTGTTGGCTGTTTGATCAACTATAGCACTTAGAGTTGTTTCTTACCTAAATGTTAGAGGTACAGTTTCAATTGTATTTAGGTCTTACTTTTATATTTTAGTTAATTATGTATTAGTTATGTTTTAAAATGTGTAATAAAAAAGTGTAAACATTTTTTTATATATACATCATACTTTGCGTCCATTCTCAAGGCTTATGATATTGCACGCTGAACAAAAATTTTGCGAAGGATTGCACATCTCCTAAAGAAACCGTAATATGCCTCGAAGGTACCGTTGACTTGTGTTGAGATGAATAAAAAGTGATAAAGGGCGAGAAAGGAAAATAAAACATTAGAAATTAACTATACATGAAAAGCAAAATACCTGAAATTACAAACTTAACAAAAGGAAAATATGTAAAGATATTCCACAAAAGATTAAAAGGTTTTTTTTCCTAGTTTTAATTATTTCCTTGCATTGTACGTTGATGATAATAACTAGAGTTTCACACATCACAGGAATTGTATATAACTCACTTGTGGTTTTTGGCAGCTTCTAGTAACATTTTCCTTGGAGTTAAGGAGGGGAAACCCTCTTAGTAATCTTTGTTTGTGTTTGTGGCCTTAATTATATTAATGAAATAAAGTCCTATATGTGTTCAAACCAGTGCTATAAGTAGTCTTTGTTTGTGTTTGTGTCCTTAATTATATTAATGAAATAAAGTCTTATATGTGTTCAAACCAGTGCTATAAGTAGTCTTTGTTTGTATGTGTGGCCTTAATTATATTAATGAAATAAAGTCCTATATGTGTTCAAACCAGTGCTTTAAGTAGTCTTTGTTTGTATATGTGGCTTTAATTATATTAATTAAATAGTTCTGTATGTGTTCAAACCAGTGCTTTAATTAGTCTTTGTTTGTATGTGTGGCCTTAATTATATTAATGAAATAGTTCTGTATACAAACAAAGACTAATTAAAGCACTGGTTTGAACACATGTGTGGCCATAATTATATTAATGAAATAAAGTCCTATATGTGTTCAAACCAGTGCTTTAAGTAGTCTTTGTTTGTGTGTGGCCTTAATTATATTAATGAAATAGTTCTGTATGTGTTCAAACCAGTGCTTTAATTAGTCTTTGTTTGTATGTGTCCTTAATTATATTAATGAAATAAAGTCCTATATGTGTTCAAACCGGTGCTTTAATTAGTCTTTGTTTGTGTTTGTGGCCTTAACTGTATTAATGAAATAGTCCTATATGTGTTCAAACCAGTGCTTTAAGTAGTCTTTGTTTGTGGCCTTAATTATATTAATGAAATAGTTCTGTATGTGTTCAAACCAGTGCTTTAAGTAGTCTTTGTATGTGTGGCCTTAATTATATTAATGAAATAAACTCCTATATGTGTTCAAACCAGTGCTTTAAGTAGTCTTTGTTTGTGGCCTTAACTGTATTAATGAAATAGTCCTATATGTGTTCAAACCAGTGCTTTATTCTTTAAAAATTATTTTCATTTCATGATCAGGAACTGCTGTATCAACCTCTCATAAGAACCAAGTGTCTCATATTCCTAAGAAATCGCCAAGTAAATCTTCTGTTGAAATTAACAAAAGCAGACAATTCAAGTCTCCAAAGAAAGAAGGTTCTGAAAATGTACACAGGTTTTTTTAGTTATTGTCCATTTATTTTGTCTAAAGTTGTGGTATCCAAGTTTTGTGATTCTTTCTCCGATATTTAGGTTCCGATATTTTGTTACTATATGGAAATATTGGTATGTTAAAATTAACGTAAATAAAATATGAAACACTCAGGTAAATATTAAAATTAAATATTTTTATTGTCACACTTTTACCAATATTTGTTTTTTTTTAAAGTTTAGTATGTAACATTGTTTGGACATTTTTATTATATTAATATTTGTTATTACTCATTATAACACTCAGGTGAATATTAAAATTAACGTAAGTAATAAAATATTAAATATACGGGTGAATATTAGAATTAACGTAATTAATAAAATATTAAATATACTGGTGAATATTAAAATTAACATAAATAATAAAATATTAAATATATGGGTGAATATTAAAATTAACGTAGATAATAAAATATTAAATATACGGGTGAATATTAAAATTAACATAAATAATAAAATATTAAATACTCAGGTGAATATTAAAATTAACATAAATAATAAAATATTAAATACTCAGGTGAATATTAAAATTAACGTAATTAATAAAATATTAAATATACGGGTGAATATTAAAATTAACATAAATAATAAAATATTGAATACTCAGGTGAATATTAAAATTAACGTAATTAATAAAATATTAAATATACGGGTGAATATTAAAATTAACATAAATAATAAAATATTAAAATTAACATAAATATAAAATATTAAATACTCAGGTGAATATTAAAATTAACATAAATATAAAATATTAAATACTCAGGTGAATATTAAAATTAATGTAATTAATAAAATATTAAATATACGGGTGAATATTAAAATTAACGTAATTAATAAAATATTAAATATACGGGTGAATATTAGAATTAACATATATTTTTATTGTCACATGTTTCCCAATATTTGTTTTTTAAGTTTAGTATGTAACACGTTGTTTTTTTTGTTTTATTATATTAACATTTTTTTATAACTCAGTTATTTTACTTTTCAAGTACACCTTATGGAAAATTAGCTTTGTATAAAATTTTCCTTATCTTTTTTTCTTAGTTAGAAAAGTGTAAGCATTTGTAATAAATTCTGAGTTATTTAGGAAATACATGCAATCAAACAGGCTTTTAATCACAAACGTATAGAGAAAGAGTAATTCCTTTTTCACATAGTTATCATTTGGTTAGTTGACGTAACTGGAACATGAATCTTCTGTAGAGTCCTACTCAAGAAAAAACACCCGAAGAGAAAAAAAGGGAAAAAATTTTGAACTACAAGCGATTCAGGGAGAGAGAGGGGCCTCGTGCTTTAGGTTCTAAATTAATTCCTGAGGTAATGTGATAAGTTTTAATTAATTCCTGAGGTAATGTGATAAGTTTTAACTACAAAATGTTCAAGATTTCTCTGCAATATTTTACTTTTTGTATATAGTTTTATAAGATTTTATGAAGAGTGGTCTACAGCATTAGCTAACCGAATATGTTTTCGTTAAATTTCAAACTTGTGATTGTTGTATGGAATAGAAGCCTTGCTAAAAGAGTAATTTAAAACAAAGAGGACAGGATTGGGTGGACTTTGGAAATTGATTTTTGTGAAGTTCCTTGTTGAACAGACCAAACATGTATAATTTACTTATCACTTAGACAAAACCAAAAAAAATTTACATATATGAGTTTTTACTCAGAAATAAAGTTTGTTGAAATTTTGTGAAATGTTTTTATCTGGTTTAAGCTTGTTGATTTTTATGAAAATGCATCTATAGTTAATTTTCCTGATTTTTGTGAACAGTTTCCTAATTGAGATAGTTAGTGTATGACAAACTAAAAGAACTTTGATTAAACAGAAATGTAATATTTTTAAAATTCTAAACTTAATTTGTGTAGTGACAGACCTTAAATGTAATTAATCATGACCATTATTATGAAAAACTAGGTTAACCATTAATAATATTATTTGCTTGATGAATTAAGTAATGAGGTGGTTGTAAATTTATTAATTAGTAGTAGTTTCCATGATACATCACTCAGCTTATGACAGAGAAGGATAGGAATTATGTTAATAAATCTATTTACCGTTATGGCTATAATCAGTGAAAAAAAATTGTTTTGGCAAGACTGATTAAACATTAAGTAACTTTAAACTGTTATGTAATTGTGTGATTACAACTTTCAATTTCAATGTTTTGGCAAGACTGATCAAACATTAAGTAACTTTAAACTCAAGACATTAAATAACTTTAAACTGTTATGTAATTGTGTGATTACAACTTTCAATTTCAATGTTTTGGCAAGACTGATTAAATATTAAGTAACTTTAAACTGTTATGTAATTGTGTGATTACAACTTTCAATTTCAATGTTTTGGCAAGACTGATTAAATATTAAGTAACTTTAAACTGTTATGTAATTATGTGTTTATAACTTTCAATTTTTTAAAGTTACTTAATGTTTAATCAGTCTTGAGTTTAAAGTTACTTAGTGTTTAATCAGTCTTGCCAAAACATTGTCTCAAGACTGATCAAACATTAAGTAACTTTAATCTCAAGACTGATCAAACATTAAGTAACTTTAATCTCAAGACTGATTAAACATTAAGTAACTTTAATCTCAAGACTGATCAAACATTAAGTAACTTTAATCTCAAGACTGATCAAACATTAAGTAACTTTAAACTGTTATGTAATTGTGTGATTACAACTTTCAATTTCAATGTTTTGGCAAGACTGATTAAATATTAAGTAACCTTAAACTCAAGACTGATCAAACATTAAGTAACTTTAATCTCAAGACTGATCAAACATAAAGTAACTTTAATCTCAAGACTGATCAAACATTAAGTAACTTTAAACTGTTATGTAATTGTGTGATTACAACTTTCAAGTTCATTGTTTTGGCAAGACTGATCAAACATTAAGTAACTTTAAACTCAAGACTGATCAAACATTAAGTAACTTTAATCTCAAGACTGATCAAACATTAAGTAACTTTAAACTTAAGACTGATTAAACATTAAGTAACTTTAAACTGTTATGTAATTGTGTGATTACAAATTTCAATTCCAATGTTTATGATTTTTTTTAACTAAGGGAGAAGATGGCTGCTTTTCAGGCCTAACTTTTGTGAGTACAGGTGTATTAGAATCGTTGGAGCGAGACCAAGTGAAAGAGCTGATTGAGAAGTATGGAGGAAAGCTAACACAGTCTGTGAGCAAGAAAACAAGTTATCTTCTCATTGGTCGAGATGCTGGTCCAGCTAAACTAGAAAAAGTAGGATATAATTACCGATAGAGGGTTGGTGTATAAAGATTATTTAAATAGAGGATTTTATAAATAACTTGTAAAAGTAAAAATTCAACATAAAAAATGTGTGATTGTGTTCTTGTCTCGAGAATAAGACTGTTATTGAAAACAGACATATTAGCCAAATTAGAACTTTAGATTTGTGGTGTTTGTTGTTTAATAATTAATTAATTCATCATTTGTGGCATAACTTATGTATTGAAGATTCCTGATGATGATTTGTTGTTATAACTATTGAATAACTTGTTATGTCCGTGGGGAAGTTGTTACTAACAGAAATGTTAGAATTTTCTCTTTTCTTCATCTTTTGTTTTTGTGTTGATGTCTTTATTTCGCATGCTTTTTTTTTACTTTTGTTGCTGCCTGAGACAGATTAACTACCTTTAGAAATAAATCTGAGTTAAAATAACATCCCACGTTTATTTGCTGCATCAACATACGAACTACAGAAATGGTGTTTTAGGTGAGAGTTTGATTACAAAGAGTGAGATGCATGTTCACTTCCTTGCGTTGTTAACTAGATATATCAGGATGGAAATGAATGCCCGTGTTTATAAACTATACATTGAACTGAATGTTCTCTTACACACCATCCTGTGAAGATTGAACTGAATGTTCTCTTACACACCATCCTGTGATTCGATAACCGTAAGAATCATTATACTGTCACGATTGAACTGAATGTTGTCTTACACACCATCCTGTGATTCGATAACCGTAAATTCAGTTCAATCTTCACAGTATAATGATTCGTTCTCTTACACACCATCCTGTGAATCGTTAACCTTAAGAATCATTATACTGTGAAGATTGAACTTAATGTTCTCTTACACACCATCCTGTGAATCGTTAACTTTAAGAATCATTATACTGTGAATATTGAACTGAATGTTCTCTTACACACCATCCCGTGATTCGTTAACCGTAAGAATCATTATACTGTGAAGATTGAACTGAATGTTCTCTTACACACCATCCCGTGATTCGTTAACCGTAAGAATCATTATACTGTGAAGATTGAACTGAATGTTCTCTTACACACCATCCTGTGATTCGATAACTTTAGGAATCATTATACTGTGAAGATAAGATAATGTAGAAAGTTAAAAGGGTACGTAGACATAACTGATAATTTTCACTCAGTGTGGCCTATAGTGTGAGTCCTCTTAAATTTGCTTTGACACAGATAAAATAATAATTTTTCCTTGATTATTTTGTCAGACATATGTAGATATTTAACAATTGCAACTTCTCAGAAGGTTATACTTTTGTGTGTGTAAGTTTCGAATTAAGGCACTTTTATAATTTTTTTTTATCTGAAATCTGATACTGTAGTTTTCATTTGTACTCAGTGTGATTCATTAGCGAATTCTTTGTGAAGTTGAATTAATTGTCCTTAAATCCACTGAATCTATTTTGTACTAGAAACAAAACTTAGCTGTCATCAGAAATGCTTGTTCTGGCTGTTATTGGTGTCATTGTTTGGGGAGGAGAATATGTTTCCAGACACAAGATTGTTAGCTTTCTTTAATAAGCCTTTTTCTTACCATAGGCAGAGAATCTGGGTACTAAACAGATAAATGAGGATGAATTTTTGGAGTTAATCAAGACTTTACCAGGACAAAAAACATTAAAAAGTCCGGTAAAGCACTCAAGAACTCCAGTTAAGTCCTCACTGAAAGACACCTCAAGAAATCTGGAATCGGCTGGTAATCCAGAAATGAGGAAACGTAAGAGTGAAGAGCATTACAGCCCTCCAGATCAACCTTGTAAGAAATACAAACAAGAAGAAACTGTGGATAAAATCAAGGTTAGATTCTTACTACTTAATCTTTTTCAGTCTGGTTGCAGTGTAATGCCATTTTAGCATTTCCACTCATAAACTTAAAGTTTTTAAAACTTAATGTTCTAATTTACTCCATTTAGAAAACAATATAGTGAATTATAGAGGGTTAAAAATGAGGAGGGTATAACAATTATATAAATATAATTCAATAAATCTAATAGCTTTTAGTATAGGAATGTCTGCCTTCCAATATCTCGAAACTCTACACAAATATTATGTCCTGAGGAATGATTACCTTGTGAGAGTTACTAGATTTCCTTCGAGTTATGGATATCGAAAGATGGCTTTTATTAATATTCAAAAAATAAGAAACTCACCTCTATTTCTCGATCTCCAGGGATTCCACTCTTTGCCCATCTATGCATTGAAAAAGTTTACTCCAGTCTTTTATACTCCACTCAAATGCCTTTGTCAAATTCTAATTTGCAAAACTCTCCACCAGCTTCAATATGCCCTCTATCCAGGTACTGTATATAAGCACCTCATTCTGATAATGTAATCACTTTTTCTCAACAAAGCATTCAGCACAGGTTTTTATAAACAAGAGTGTTGTGACTTTGAATATGGTTGGCATTAATATGGTTATCTTTTCATTTGTATTTATGAATTATATTGACACACACACACAAAAATGTACCGACTTGGCTCATATTAACTCATTTCAAAGTACTAGGAATCGATGGTTCATTTTTGGGATCCTTCTGTTTCCCATAACTTATCTCCTAATTACCCTAACTGGTTTTCTCATGGTCAGCAGTGATGGTCATTTCCACTACTTGATAATAAAAGGTTAGTCTGAAAGTTGGTAGTGAGTGCTGGTCAGCAGTTCAAAATTGATGATGGTGGCAGATAACTTTAGTAGCTTTGCCGTAACCCAAAAACAATTTTGATTAGTCGATTATTTTTAGTCGTAACACTTATCGTTTAAGCTCCACAAACTTTAATTGATCAAAGATAATCATAACGACAATACTTCGATTATCTGGATAATTGCAATAATTAGAAATTCTAGTTTTGATTAGTTGATTATTTTTCATTACATTAATTGATTTAATCATAATTTTGATTCACCGATTGTTTTATATGACAATTTATGTTAGAAAGTAAAATGCTGTGTACAATTGTTTCAAACAGTATTGTAATAGAGAGAGTTGAAAGTTTCTTTGTATCGTGAGGGTATTTATGATTGGAAACTTTCTCTAAAGAAGCATCTGTTTCATGTAAAAGTCTTTGTTTTCTGGAAAAGTTTAAAACTGATTTAAAAGACAGTATGGGTAAAATTCAAATACTATTCACAGTATCTGAAGTAAAAACAATAAATTTGTATACAATCTAAATGATACTGTTTATTGTTGCCAGTTTCTTAAATTATCTGTTCCAATTCAACTTCCCAGGGCGAAGACCATAAGATGTGGGTAGATAAACACAAGCCTACATCAACGAAACAGATAATTGGCCAGCAAGGAGAGAAAAGCAATGTCAAGAAACTGACGAAGTGGTTAATGAACTGGTATAAAAACCATAGTTCTGGGAAAAAGCCACCACCACCTCGTAAGTGTAATGTTGTTTATCAGTGGTGGTATCTTTCCAAACATGTTTGTTACTAACTTCAGTTTTTACATTTTGTTGCTCACTAAGAAACAGTACATTTTTAACTGATGTGATTTATTTATAGTGTTTTGATTATAAAGAAATAATTTAACACAACTTATAAATATATTCAATATCCCAATGATTTCAGAATACTAAAATTTTATCTAAAAAATTTTGTGAAACAGAAATGTTTTAAGACTTTTAACATAAACTTGTTCTTGGTTACCAATTTTAACACAGTATCATTTTCTTTATCTTCTGAAGCTCGATGGGGTGGAGCTGGAGATGACGGGTCATTTTTTAAAGCTGCTCTTCTATCTGGTCCACCTGGAATTGGAAAAACTACATCAGCCCAGCTTGTGTGTCAGGTATTGAAACAGCTAATGTCTACTTCTGAGCAAAGTGAAATTCTGTAGTTTTTTTATTTATAATATATTTGAACATTTTATTCCTATGTATTAAGGTAGCATGTACCCTTTATAGAGTGTTATTTAGGTTTTGACTTTTTTTTATCAGAAAAAACATCTCCATACTATGTTTTTGTATGTAAATACATTAAACTAGGTACAATGGCACATGTTGTGTAACATTACCACTGTGGCTGACCTGGCATGGCCATGTGGTTAGGGCTCTTGACTTGCAGTCTGAGGGTAGCTGGTTCAAATCCACCAAACATGCTCAACCATTCAGCCATGGGGGCATTATAATGTGACAGTAAATCTCACTATTCATTGGCAAAAGAGTAGCCCAAAAATTGGTGATGGGTGGTGATGACTTGCTGCCTTCCCTCTAGTCTTTCATTGCTAAATTAGGGACGGCTAGCACAGATAGCCCTCGTGTAGCTTTGCATGAAATTAAAAAAAAAAAAATCACTGTGACTAATTTGCATGTTATAAAAATAAAGAAATACAAAAGAAATCTGTATGTTCTTAATGACTTCTACAAACATGACTAAATGGGTCCAGACTTTGATAGGCTGTGAATAATTAGTCTGAACTAAAGAAAATTAACCAAGGTCAAATTACTGTACTAATGAGTATGCCCTATGTACGATATATGCTACAGTGACTCATTAATGGTAATTTTATAAAAAAACAAACATCTTGTTAACTTTACCTCAGTACACACTATAGAAACACCAATAATGCATATTTATGCCCATTATGTAGTCTATAACCTCAACAGATCTGAAGTTATGAGTTAGAAACCACAATGAGAATGTCAGTTTTCATATTTTGAGAAAAACGTGTTTAAAAATTTGGTTCAAAATTCTTTCTGGTTATTAATAAGCTCCTGGAGCACAAGTTTTCCTCTCCTTGTATTTCTTGGGTTTCCTTTTTTGACATTTATTCTTGTCTGTCACTGTTTTATTCATTTCATGGAAGCCTTGTTTTGTGCTTAAGATAAACTTTTCTTGTCTGCATTAGCAAAGAATTTGTTGGTGAAACTTCATTGTTAAGCAGCTTGAGTACCTTCTCCCTTGACTGCACTCCATCATTTAAAGTACTGACACTGTCAACAGCAGCTTATCTTATACGTTTTGCACCGACAAAAGTGACCTTGGGATTACGATTCCATATTACATGGTTTAGGGAATCATTAGCATTCTGAGTGAAGCAATCTAAAAATTTTGTCAGGAGTTTATCACTAGATAACCTTTCATAGATGGGCTTAATGGCTTTCATTACACACTCTGGCATGGACAGTTTGTGAGAATATTCTGAGCTGGTGTATTTAGCTTTTTGAAATTTACACCAAGGATCTGTCCATTCTCAAATATTCAGGATTTGCCACATGAATAAACACTTAATGACAAGTTAGAATACAGGAATTAGTAAAAGCACTTTCTTTGTTCAGTACATAAAGTTTGATTGATTCAACAATAAACGGTTATTGGTACAGTACATTACTTCAAAGGGGTAGCAAGAATGGAGCATTTTGATAATCAGGGGGAATTGCAAATTGGCTAAAAGTGTTTCAAAACAATAATTTGGATCATGTTAATATTTTTTGATATTTAAAAAGAATATACTACCTTAAGAAATAAAATTTTAGCTAAAAGTTATTGATTGGATCATTTTGAAAGTAATGCTCATAAAACATTAATTAACTCTAAGGTTATAGTTTAGGCCTAGCACGAATGAAGAATGATGCAAGTTTAATAATACATAACGTAACTCTGAAATATCTTAACATATCTTCACACAAATTGGTAAGATTTTGTTAAAACTAACAAGTATTTTCTGCACAAAAAATGAGATTATTTTAATTAAGTATTTTAAATAAAAATTAATTTTTTATTGTAGTTATTTGCACTCAGACCAAATATTTCAAGTATTATCATCAGCGTATAGAAACATTTAAAATTAAACATTTTCACATATAGTTAATTTAGAATATTTTATTTTCATTTCTTGTTCTTTAGCATTATTATTTATCATGTTATGCATCAATGGGTATCCTTGGGCAATATTAGGGTATTCTCAGGCAGAGATACTTTAGTCTTCGGCAGACACGTTGTTGTTGTTGCGCTCACGTACTACACTAAGCCTCATGAACTGAGGCAAAGTTTGGGTTATTTTTTTAAAAACGTTAAACCTTTCAAATATGCAAATTAACTAAAATGTAGAACTAAACCCTAAAAACAACTTAACTGTATCTAACTAACATATTTCTAGATGAGAAATAACGCAAAGTGCTAGCGAGAGCAAAAGCGGCAACAATGCTAAGAGTAGTTTAACTTTTTTACTTTGTAAGGAAGTCTTCGTGCCGATTTTAAAATAACCATCAGGAAATTGTAGTTTAAAATGAGTTCTTTTTATTAGTTATAAACATATACACAAATAAGTGGAGCTGAGTGTAAAAAGTTGGTGTGCTTCTGTCAAGAGTTCCCAAGAAATTTATCTCTTCCTTCTTGGAACTTGAAAGAAGAATGTGTAAACAAACCAATTAGTTTTTTCTGTCTAGACATAGGCGTCTAGTGTACGTGAAAGATTATTCAAATTACAGAGACCGAAAGTTAAGACTTATAAATGCTTGTGCATCACGGGAAAACAAAACCGAAGAGTTTCTTTTGAAATAAAGGAAATAAGTCTTAAATAATATAAAACATTGAATTACAACATATATTATAATGCTAATTTCAATGATAGTAAAGCTGCTTAATTAAATTTTGAATGTAACTCTCAGTAAAACCTCATGAAATTCACAGAAAAGGGTGCCCATAAACTTAGGGTTAATAAATTATACTTTTTTTTTTAACCTCTTCACTGCAGCTTGGATGTTTATTTCCCAGTGCTCCAACCCCCATCACACTGTGATTGGGACAGATGTTTCCCATTGTCATTCATAATTGCCACGGGTGATGTATGGGAGTAAAATGAGTTGTAAAATATCTAATGACTTCCCACCTACTGTTTATATATGGTTTCCTTCAATGTTTTACACTCAGACTTTCAGTAACCAACAAGATGCCTAAGCAGAATGTACGACAACTGCGTGCCGACCGTGCCTGCATCACTAGATGCTGAGTAGTAACCCTAATTACTATGCAAATATGCTTGATGTGCTTGAGAAAAGAGGGTGTTAGCTCTCTAACTAGTGATGACAGTCAAGATGATGAACCTGGACCCAGCAGGGTGGGAGCACTGGGAAATATATCTCCCAGCTGCAGTGAATGGGCTAATGTAAATATTCAAAGGTAAACTGAAAAACCTTAAATTAGGCTTTCAGTGTTTAATATTTATTAGGTTTCTTATCTTGAGGAAAGTGACTTTGAAACTGATTACTTGTCTGTGTAAGATTTATCATCTTGTCTTGTAGGAAGCTGACTTTGAAATTGTTTGTGGTGATTACTTGTCTGTGTAAAATTTATCATCTTGTCTTGTAGGAAGCTGACTTTGAAATTCATTGTGGTGATTACTTGTCTGTGTAAGATTTATCATCTTGTCTTGTAGGAAGCTGACTTTGAAATTGTTTGTGGTGATTACTTGTCTGTGTAAAATTTATCATCTTGTCTTGTAGGAAGCTGACTTTGAAATTGTTTGTGGTGATTACTTGTCTGTGTAAGATTTATCATCTTGTCTTGTAGGAAGCTGACTTTGAAATTGATTATGGTGATTAGTTGTCTGTGTAAGATTTATCATCTTGTCTTGTAGTAAGCTGACTTTGAAATTGATTATGGTGATTAGTTGTCTGTGTAAGATTTATCATCTTGTCTTGAAGTAAGCTGACTTTGAAATTGATTGTGGTGATTACTTTTCTGTGTAAGATTTATTGTCTTATCTTGTAGGAAGCTGGTTTTCAATATGTTGAGCTAAATGCCTCTGACACTCGTTCTAAGAAAAACCTAGATGAAGAAATTTCTCAACTTTTGAGTAACAAAAGTCTTGGCAACTATTTTTCAGGTAAGGTTACTTGTTAAACTAGTATAATTTTTATGAACTGCGTAGTTAGATTATAACTGTTATTCTACAGGTAGCTAAAACTCAAGATAGATTTACAAACATCTAAGCATAGATAGAAATACTAATGGACCAACTTTGTACATCAACATTGTGAGAGTTACAATGTTGAATATTATGATGTTGTGAGTTGAACCAGAATTATGTTTGCTAACCTATTTTTACAGAGAAGTTTGAGTTGATTTAGGAAATAAAACATAGAAATTACCTGTTTTTGGACAAACTTAAAATTGTGGATCGTGGTAGAATGATGCTCTTAACAAGAATGATTCTTTAATATCAGTGCCGTTACAAATTAAAAGAATGATTCATTAATATCAATGTTATTACAAATTACAAGAATGATTCTTTAATACCAGTGTCACTACAAATTACAAGAATGATTCTTTAATACCAGTGTCACTACAAATTACAAGAATGATTCTTTAATATCAGTGTCACTATAAATTACAAGAATGATTCTTTAATACCAGTGTCATTACAGATTACAAGAATGATTCTTTAATACCAGTGTCATTACAAATTACAAGAATGATTCTTTAATACCAGTGTCATTATAAATTACAAGAATGATTCTTTAATACCAGTGTCACTACAAATTACAAGAATGATTCTTTAATATCAGTGTCACTACAGATTACAAGAATGATTCTTTAATATCAGTGTCACTACAAATTACAAGAATGATTCTTTAATACCAGTGTCACTACAGATCAGAAGAATGATTCTTTAATACCAGTGTCGTTACAGATTACAAGAATGATTCTTGAATATCAGTGTCATTACAAATTACAAGAATGATTCTTTAATACCAGTGTCACTACAAATTACAAGAATGATTCTTGAATATCAGTGTCATTACAAATTAAAAGAATGATTCTTTAATATCAGTGTCATTACAAATTACAAGAATGATTCTTTAATATCAGTGTCACTACAAATTACAAGAATGATTCTTTAATATCAGTGTCACTACAAATTACAAGAATGATTCTTTAAT